GGCCGGATCTGACGGACAACCAGTACGGTTTCCGTCAGGGGCGCTCCACCGTGGATGCGATCATGCGCGTGAAGGCTCTGGCGGAGGAAGCAGTCTCCCGGGGCGAAGTGGTGTTGGCGGTGTCCTTGGACATCGCCAACGCGTTCAACACTATGCCCTGGAGCTGCATCAGGGAGGCGCTCGTGTATCACGAAGTGCCTCTCTACCTCCGCCGCATAGTCGGGGCATATTTGTCGGAGAGAGCCGTCGTCTACCCCAGTAGGACCGGTCTCGGTAGGCGTGAAATGTCGTGCGGTGTTCCGCAGGGGTCGGTGTTAGGGCCACTCTTGTGGAACATCGGCTACGACTGGGTGCTTCGTGGTGCCTTCTTGGATGGTGTCGCCGTCGTGTGCTACGCGGACGACACACTCGTGACGGCGCGCGGCAAGACGCACCACGAGGCAACCCTGAGGGCCACGGCCGGGGTTGCCCAAGTCGTTGAGCGTATCCGGCGGCTGGGTCTCGAGGTGGCTCTGCACAAGTCCGAGGCCCTGTTCTTTCACGGGCTTCGGAGGAAGCCGCCTGAGGGATCTAGCCTCACGGTAGGAGGCACTCGCATCGGCATCGAGCCCTCGATCAGGTATCTGGGGCTCGTACTCGATGGCCGATGGGACTTCGGATATCATTTCCGAGGTCTGGTCCCCAAGTTGGTTGGGGCAGCGCGTGCGTTGGCGCGGCTGCTGCCCCAACATGAAGGGACCCGATGACTCCTGCCGGAGACTCTACTCGGGGGTTGTGCGGTCCATGGCCCTTTACGGGTGCCCAGTATGGGCGGGGGCCCTGAAGGCCAGCAACGTCGCGATACTGCGGCGACCGCAGCGAATGCTGGCCATCAGGATCATAAGGGGGTACCGCACGATCTCCTTCGAGGCGGCGAGTCTCCTGGCCGGAACTCCACCGTGGGACCTGGAGGCGAGAGCCCTTGCAGCACTGTATCAGTGGCGCAAGGAGGCGCAGGAGTTGGGTCGATACCCCGAGATTCGAGAAATCGATGACCGGAAATCCCAACTCCGCCAGGTCATCATAGGGGAGTGGAGGGAACGACTCGGGCAACCGAGCGCCGGGCACGCCGTCATTGCGGCGGTAAGACCCGTTATGGAGGATTGGCTCGAGAGGCGTCACGGGGACCCTCTCATACCGATTGACACAGGTGATCACAGGGGAAGGGATGTTTCGGAGATCACCTGTGTCTGATCCGCAAGGAGCCAACGCCTGAGTGCCACCACTGCGATGGCCAGACCGTGGACACGGCTCTCCACACGCTGGCAGAGTGCCCGGCGTGGGTTGAGCAGAGGCGAGACCTCGTGGCGGCCATCGGAGTGGGAGTTCTCTCGCTCGATAGCCTGATTGCGGCTATCGTGCGGAGCGAGAGTGCGTGGAACTCTGCCGTCTCCTTCTGCGAGCAAGTTATGCTCGCGAAGGAGACGGCGGAGCGGGAGCGGGAGAGGTTTAGAACTCTCCCGGCCCGCCAGGCCCGGGCACGGGCCAGGCAGCGCAGGCGACTCAGGCGCCGGAGGTCGCAGAACGACCTCCGTCCTCCATAAGCGCAGGCCTGGGGGTGACAGGTGAGGCCATCTGTCACCCTAGCAGAAGCAGGCCGGGGTGGCGGCGAGCGCGTTGCGAAGCGCGCTCGCTTCCAGGGAGCACAGGGAACATGGGGTTCCCACACGGGGCGGGGGTCGTCTACTCGTCTGTAGATGACCCGAGGTATGTCGGGGCACCAGGGCCTTCCTTTCTAGGGTATACCTGGTTCCCCGGCTATTAGTACCCGGCGAAGGCGTGCGGTTTTAGTCGGTTCGTGTCCGACATGCCACCGGCAGGTGGTATCCGAGGGGATTTCCGCACGGAAAAAAAAAAAAAAAAAAAAAAAAAAAAAGGGGATACGTCTCTGCTTGTCTTATCTTTTAGCTGTGGAACGACTATCTTTCTATTTCTCATTTAGGATGATGCGATTCTGACACTTCTCGCTTCTTTGGATATCTCACAGCATCAGATTAAACAACAAACGAGATCATAGGACTACCGTTCATAGGATATTAACATATTATTTAAAAATAAAACAGTTAAGCACATTATTTTCATGTTCATTCTACTCGTCTACGTGTTTATTATATCAGGTGATAGTGAAATTTTCTTGATATATTAAAGCGGCACAGCGCCGCGGCAATACGTGGCCGGGTTCCCTGTTGTAGCGAGCGCCCTACACTCATTCCAACCCTCTTTAGGTAACGAGGGTAGCAAATAGTATTGCTATCCACCGCGCGATCGCTCTGATTATATCTACTTTAACAGTTTTTTTTTATTGTTTTCAACATCAAATATTTAAATTAAAAAATGCCAAAATTGTGTTATAAATAAGAAGTCATATTATAATTAACATTGAATATAAGCTAATGTCTTTTAAACACACAAGATGTATTTTTTTGTATTTATTTAACAATGACATTCTCGGCATTAGTTGAATGGTATTATATAAATAGAATATATTCTTTTCAAACAATACATTAAGAAACGTAAGCATACGTTTATTAATAAATAATCATATACTAAACAAATATATATTATTAAATTCATTTTTGGATTAGTGTTTCTATTCGATAACAGATGGCGCTAGTAGTATCAATGTGAGTATTTGTGTCGTCTGATTAAACGAGTATAGACCGGGCGACGTCTGTGAGTTTATGTTGTTCGCAATTTCCGCTAAGAGAACGTAACAAATTATAAATAAATTTAGTTTCCAATTGATAAATATACACACAGACTTTACTGACTAATTTTACTTTTAGTGACTAGAAATCGTTAGTAAGTTATTGTAAATATTACTTACATAGATTACCTACATATAAACGGTATAATCAAAGTCGAACTTAAATCATTATTTAAAAATATTATTACCTTTTGAACGCCAAACTTAACTTTATCGACTTTAGCACTTGTATGTAAAAATAAATGCATGCACTTATTGTATGTTAAATACTTTACGAATGTATCAGTGACAAAGTCTAACTGTGGCCACTTGCGGTGCGGGTTCGATCTGGAGACGTTTTTGTGTGAATTGAAAATTATTTAATTTGTTTACAAAGTGATAGAAATCTCCATACTTGAGGGTTCACCGTAACGTATTAGAGTAGGGCCTAACTCTTGTAGGTATATGAAGAACGACCATGGCTAACACAGTAGGTAATCGTTTAAAAGTAGGATTGATATGAAGACACGTTGATGTGATAGTTTCTAGATGAGCATTCTTCCAAGTTTACTAATCTTTGCTAATAATGTTTCGTTTTATTCGGTTCAGAAGTTGCGTCGTATTTAGTAACAGACGACATAGTGTATTACTTTCACTTACCTGTTTACGGTACGACTTGCACCTATTTGTAACCGTTTGTTACCAAGCGAGGGGAGAGTTTGCTCGAAATCTAATTCAATAAAAAATAAAAGTATAAATATGTTTTTTTTTTATTTTATTCAATTGTTAGCGCAGGTTGAGTTTATGTTTAGTTGTGTTCGCAATAGACACTCAGGTGCAATAGGACTATGTCAGTGAAATTTGAAAATAAAAAGCATTTATTGACAAAGACATATATAATGAAATAAAAAAAATGTAAAACAGACATGGATGGAATGGCTTATAACCTTAGATTATGATAATGTTGAAAAGTTGTTGTAATTGTAATGTGCATGTAATTTTTTATTCTCTTTTTTTAAGTTCTTGTATTCTTTTCATTGTAGAAGATGGCGTTCCCTGTCACAAGTATTTAATACCTGAAAGGAGACCCTCTGTTAAAATAAAAATGAATTTAAAGAACCAATAAAGATGATTATTATTATTATAGGTATTATATTTATTTACCTCATGACATAGAAACAATAGTATTAATATAGTGAGGTGTCCCTCTAGATAGGGAGAGTAGGTACGCTTATGAGTCCTGCCATTGACAGAGTGTGCCTCTGTCTTTATTTTGTATCAGGTGGAGATCGTCATTAGGAAATGTTGTACTTAATTTTTACACAGAGATAGTGGCGATACAGGCGCGTGTATCAAACGTGTTCATAGTTGATACACGCGCCTGTAACTGTAACAAATGTCTACTATAACAAATGTCTAAACTAACAGTGTCCTTAATAGTAAACTTACAAATATACATATTAAATGTAGAATGAATTTGTATCAGTGTTTTATTCAGTTGTCTAAGTGTCTTCGGGGTAAACTTGAAACTTATTTACTGAAGCTACGGGTTAGGTTTATTACCTACTTAGTTACGTTTGCTTGAATAATATTTCAACCTATTTAAAAAAAAATACAAAAACTGTCTTGGAAGAGAACGTTTAGAGATAGTTAAATTTAAAGAAAAATATATCAACTCAATATACGAATATTAACATATCATTAAGTAGGGAATATTTGTATCTGTAAGTTCTTTTTAATTAAGTATAAATGTAAAGGAATAAAAAGGAACAGGAATACGTCCATGTTACACCACCAAGAACTAAGTGCGTGATGAGTGGTGGACATGTATGTACTCATCACTGGTGTTGTACAAGCGAAGCTCCGCGCCGTCGGCGCTGCGGCCGTAGCGACGCGACGCACAATTTTCCTTGGCGAGCGAGGCGAGGGGTCGGAGCGCGGGACGAGCGGCCCGGGGTGGGGCGAGGGGAGCGGGAGCGGGCAGGCGGGGCGCAGTAATTACACCGTCATTAGCGGGCGGCGCTGGGCGGGGCCGCCCCTCTCCGCACGGCGGGCGCGCGCAGCGGCGCGGCGGGCCTCAGTCCGATCCGTGCTGCCGTCGCGCACGCACGCGCATGTCGCTCGCTGTTGTAATCGGTGATGTGAGGTGGCCCCCGCCGCTGCCGCAGCGTCGCGCGATATACGCGCTTTTTTCGCGAACAAGTAAGCCAGTTGAAGGCTCAAGAGCCTTCGAGCCGGCAAGACGCCGTCCACCGTGGATTTGAGGTACGGCGCCATGGCGGCGACCACGTACATGCCCGCCGAGATGGATCTGAACACCATCGGCGGGTACCACGCAGCGTCGCCGCGGAGCGCCGAGCCCGCGGATATGAAGTATCAGCACCATTTGCACGCCGGGGGTTCACCGTCGCCGGGAGCTCCTGTGCTCGGCAACCCCTGGACGTCACTACCTCCGGCGGACCCGTGGGCCATGCACCACAGTCACGCGCACGCGCATCAACCTGACGTGAAACCTCCGCCGGCACCTCACGAACACCGTCACCTGCAGCACAGCCATGGCTGGCATGCACCGGTCGTCAGCCCACACTATGGTGCTGGCTCACCGGTCGGTCTCCACGGAGGCTATCCCATGCCCATGCACGCACAGCATCACATGCTCAGGGATATACAGCCTTCGCCGCATCCTCTACATCATCACGCAATGGAAAGAGATCAGCCCGAGGAGGACACGCCCACGAGCGACGACCTCGAGGCTTTCGCCAAACAGTTCAAGCAGCGCCGCATCAAACTAGGCTTCACGCAGGCCGACGTGGGTCTGGCGCTAGGTACTCTTTACGGTAATGTGTTCTCGCAGACGACCATCTGCAGATTCGAGGCACTTCAGCTCAGTTTCAAGAACATGTGCAAACTTAAACCGTTGCTCCAGAAGTGGCTCGAAGAGGCGGATTCCACGACAGGGAGTCCGACGAGCATCGACAAAATAGCAGCACAAGGCCGGAAAAGAAAGAAGCGCACCTCGATAGAGGTGTCCGTGAAAGGTGCGCTAGAGCAGCACTTCCACAAGCAGCCGAAGCCGTCGGCGCAGGAAATCACATCGCTCGCGGACAGCTTGCAGCTGGAGAAGGAGGTGGTGCGCGTGTGGTTCTGTAATAGGCGACAGAAGGAGAAGCGCATGACGCCGCCGAACACGCTCGGCAACGAGATGATGGAGGGCATGGGCCACGCGCACTACGGGCATAGCGACGTGCACGGCTCGCCGCTGCAGCACTCGCACTCGCCGCCCGGCCTGTCGCCACAGCACGGGCTGCCGCAGGGCGCGCACACGCTGGCCGCGCACTAACAGTTCGCCCCGTGGGCGCCGCCGCGGCCCTACTACGCAGAGCCGCACTAGCCGCCGGCGCCCGCCCGCGGGACCTGTACATAGCGCAGTGTACATACGCGCCGCGCGCCTGGACGTGCCCGCGGCGCACAGTGACGACGTGGGCGACCACCTCTGTAAATAAGTTCGCGTGTGACGCCCCGTCCGAAGGACCGAAAGCTAACGTTTAAGTTGTTCTTTATAATTTCAGTGAAGTCATGATTAATTATGTGAGTAATGTTAAGATCGAAGCCAGTAATCGTTTATACTTTATCGAAGCGCCGAGGTTCGGAGTGATCGCCGATACGTTTAGCTAGATAGTCTAATTGATAAATAAGAGCTTAAATCGGAGTTGGATCCCGGCGTCGCTCACGCACCCTCGCCGCTCTGCCGTGCAGCACTCAGCTCGTCGTGCGGTAAGTACGACGACATTACACACTCACAGCGTATGTGTAGCCCCTGTGTTGTACGGCGCCTAACGCCGCGCGTCCACGCGACCGCTTGCCGCGCGGCCCCGCCGGCGAGGAGTGCGTAGCGCTTACAGTTTTGTAAAGGACGATTTCATCGAATTTATTTATAGATATTACAAATTAACGATGTTCATACATGCCTACCTGTCAGTAGGGAGTCATTGTGGTGTGGAATAAATTTAAATTGTTGCTATTACTGTAAATTTATGATTAGTGACGAGGACGAGAGTAAAAAATATGAATCGGGTCGAAGCTTCGTTTTGTAAGGGAATACGAGTGAGTCAATAGGTGCAATTTTTGTTTTAAGTGTTGTAATGAAACGATCCGAGTGTGAGAGCCACCACTCGCGTGTAGTCTCAACGGCGCGGCGGCGCGGCCGACTCGCCTGTTGGTGTTAGCGGCCGGCCGCGCCGCCCCGCCGCGCGTTTACGGGCACTCGACGCACACCTAGCTCCCACATCATAATTTATTGAAAATATTATTAAAAGGATGCAGACACGATGCCAAAATGGTTTTATTCCTGTTTTTTACTTGTTTTGTTGTTTTTTTTCGTTTGTATGTATTTGTGGCCAACCTTGGTACTTAATACTTGTAAAAATAGGTATTTTTTCTATATAAAATAATGTACCTACGACGTATATGATGATATATATTAAAAAAGTTCTTTATAGAAATTGAAATATGGGAATGACTTTTATTGAAAATGTCCTGACAATCTCTGCCTCGCCAGATAGACGCGTGACTGTGTCAGACGGTGTGTGCAGCACTGCGTGTATTCATTGTACATTGTACAGATCAATTGTTTGCGTATTTTTACGATTTACAACAAGCTCAGATATTGCTGAAATGTTTTACTGAAGTTGAAATAGATGAATAATGTAAATATAACGCATTCGATGGAGTTAGGTACGCAAGTCTATAGCAGTAAATATTACTTAGTGATATGATATTTTATATTATCGTCTAAGTATTTAATAAAACAGAGTAAATATTTTAACACAGACTATTATTGATTGAATCCCGGTCAGTAGGTCATAATGTTATAAAATCCAAGGTTTATTGTTGTTTGTTTGTTTTATTTATGAGGGTTGAGCGAGAGCCAGGTACGGCCAGGTAGGGCCCGGGCCGGTGTCACCGCCAAGCGCGCAGACCCGGCACCGTCGGCCTGCGCCCGCAGCCTCTCACACACACGAACAACACACTTGACACCGTATACATTGATCCTATCGCATCCTACTACACGTTTGATAAACCTTAAATAATGGCTTTGTACAACGTTTTCACAATACTTTTCTATGGCATTGTAATCTCACATTATTTAAGGGATATATACCTACCTCGCGACTTAGTTAGTACTCTCGCTAAGTCCGTTGGAGTGTAAGGATACACCAAAAATAGTTGGAACACACCTGGCTATCAAAAAAATATTAATGAATCTAATTTCCATGGAGTGTTTACAAATACACTTAGGTACTATCTTATTTTATTCGATAAACAAATTATTGTAACTTATTTTTGGTCAACACTCACAATATTTGTTGTGCCAGGTATCGGCAGAATTAATGCTTTCTGTTTCTAGCTCTTATTTGTGCAAAGAGTTGAGAAGAGGAGTGTTAGTATTGTTTAATAGTTAAAATCCAGTTAAGATGCACCATTTTTTATTTTTCAATTTCAAAATGTTCTTGGAAACTGCATAATTTAAATGCGTCGGATTGTTGATAGTGGTGGCATTATCGCCACTTATACTGGAACATAGAATTCAACTAAGTATAATTATTTTGTAATTACGCCGTTCATGAATCAGTATAACATTTTACATTATTATCTTAAAAACAACTAATAACTAAACGCATCTTTATCAAAAAAACATATTTATAAAACTTGCCTATCTGTGTACCTGTGTGTTGTGAATTGTAAAGAAGGACTGACTTCCACGAGAGTTTACTGTTAAGCGATGATGTTATTAGCAAGTGAAGCTACTTTTATTTTGGGCCAAAATGAAGCTTATAAAGCCTTTTCTTTTTGTATTGAGTTTCCTGTTTAATGTAAACATTTTTAAATATACAATGCGATATATCTAATGAGTACTTATCACGCCGCCATGTACGTGAATACATCTTGTACGAAAACTGATACATTTAAATTTGCAACGTTCTCATAGGTATTAGTCTGACGGAGACTTAAACTAATAATCGTTCGATTAAATGTATCGATAGCTTTCTCCAGTCAATAGTGAGTTGTCATAAAAACTGTTAAGGAGTGTGTTGTCGCTGCGCGGCCGCCGCAAAAACTTCACGTGTGCGCCTCGCGCCATGGACCAAATGACATTCCGCCTGCCTACTGGAGCGTCCTACCAGTGAAACCTACGCCAATACCACGCACTCGACCAAATGTACGATCGACACAAATGATGTTTCAGGAAACGCCAATGAACTGTTGTGTTCCAACCGAATGTATCGTTACATGTAAAGCACGATTCTCATTTCATACGAGTATGTGATGAATGGAAATGTAAACAAATAAGGTGCTTATAAATAACATTCCCATTAAGCAATGTTTACACACAAACCGATTGTATGCCGGAGCAATTATTTCATAATTGTTATGCATATAATGCAATTATTACATACATTGAATTTATCTACATTTATTAAAAATGTGTGCCGCAATTGGAAATAAGCTACCGTTTGTTAGATATAGGTACTTAGGTAGGTGTCTCTTTATGATGCCTATAACGTTTTATTAATTACTAAAGCATTTTTGCCAATAAACTGAATTTGTTAAAGTGTCAGCTGTATTTTTATATCTTAATTATCTATGAGTACCTACATTGCCTTATAATCAGGTTTAGACTTATCAGCTAGAATATAAACTACCAAATTTAAAAGGTACCTGCCAATATTTGATAGTTGATTGAATTTATGAAAGGATACCTAACTTTTTTTTAACTTAATGGCTTATTATCTAATTTATTACCTATACTATAGATATATAACTAAAATAATATATTTTTTTAAACTCCACACAGACATACCGCAGACTACAGTAACTTTTTGTGTGGTTTAAATTTTGATATTATTTCAAGAATTAAAACTATCTAACCGCCTGTTAACCCCAAACTTTTTGTCTCAGCATCGAATAAGAATGTTTGCCGCAAAAAATACCCGACCGCTGTCTATCTAGTCATTGTCAAATCTTTTCAATTGTTATGAGGACCGTGGTGTGAGGAATACGCCTGAACTGCCGACGACTATATATTATTCACATCAGTTTTCTTTTATAATGTTAAAGATTTTTATATAAAATTAAGTTTATTTGTACCTAATCTATCGTTGGGTTCACAGCTTTTTGTATGTCTATTGATTTGAAGTTACAAAAATGCAAATTGCAAAGCCATAATGTAATCAGTGACAATGATTTCAGTCCTAGTACATCAAGCTAGGTGTTAATTGGCATCCAACAATAAATAATGTAAAGAAACTGTACATCAGTGTTCGTGTGTGTGTGAGGAGTCTTTTCAGCCAGTCTTTAGTTTGACAAACGCTTGGAAGATGTGTTTTTGTGTTTAGAACAATGACTGGTAGTGCAGGATGTATAATAGCAAGACGTTCTGGCTGTTAGCTGCGCTCAAGGTTCGACACGTTACTGCGACATACATACATACCTACCTACAGCACGGCCTTCGCACCAACATACACACACACACACACACACCGGTGTAGCTGAAACACAGAACATAGAGCTATGTAACAACTACATTAACCCACTTCATATTAACTGACGAGAAACTACTTCAAGTTGGCAGAAATTTCCGCACAAAAACATTTATATATCAGTAGGTATTTTTTGTTAAAACATTTTAAAATAATCTTAATGAACAGGAATTGTTTATTGATATAACAAACTACGTTTTCCACTAACTAGGCGATTACTATTTAAAATAAGTAGCTCCAAATACAGGTGTTGATATATTTTATCTATTTGATTGATTTCGTTTTTAGTTGACTGTGTCGTAGACAATGGCGTGTGTCGTTGACTTCAGAGCTCGGTGTAGATAGGCGCGCGGCAAGTATGATTGTTGTATAGTTTAAGTACAATGCTGTGGCTGTGCAAATGTACCTGCACGTGGGAAAGATGATGGTACACTAGTCAAATGATTGATCCCTTGGGAACTAAATAATAAATAACTAAATAAGTTAGAAGACTATGTCAACCAATGGAACTCAAAAGTTTCATTATACTGAAAATATCTCAGGAGTATAATCAGGAAAGTCTGCTTTATGATTGAATATACTCGTATTTTAGCTGCGCGGATTTTTAAAGATAATTACACAGATAAATCATTCATCACTACACATAATTTAATAATTGTGTTTGTTCGTAGATTACTCATATTCTATAATGGAATGGAATGGAATAGGTATTAGTATTTGAACCTAAAACTTTGCGGGGAACGTTGTCGCACAAACGAGCGGCCGTAGCAAGGTACCTGTCACTTTTTCTGCGTTATAT